CGATAGGTGTTAATAGTTATAAAAAAAGAAAATAAGCACACAAAAAGCATCATTTGGCAACTGTAAATAATTGAATAAAAAGACGGTTACCGTTTATTCTCCGTGAGCTTCCGCGCGATGTGAAGTAAATTTTATTCATGGGGATTGTCAATCCAAATCGATCGTCGCACATAATCCGTTTCCTTGTTCAAACTTTCAACTCTACAAAAGCATCACCTTCAGCAGTTCAAGAAACAGTTTCATTTAAAACATTTGCTGCGAGGAACACGGTACTTGGATGCAAGTAAATGAAATGAACGAGGTAAGTTTACATCGATAGTCCATGCGGTTTGTTTACCTACGAAGCGCTCGGCAATTTGAGGGCTAGGATTGTCTTTTTCAGTCTTAAGATCGTTTAAATCTCAATCAGAAGGTTTTTCACAAGGTCTGTTCAACAACCTGAAGTGATCAAGAGTCGAATTATCTCTATATTCTCTCAAACGTGATGCGAACTTTGATTCGAAATCGACACGGGCGGCCATTACTCTCGCGAATTTCTTTTGCTCGTGCTCTTCGAAAAACCCGACCCTGTGGTGCTTCTCATCATCTGTCAAAAAATGCGCAAAAGATGGCAAATGATTGGTTTATTATCCATCAATCATTCTGTAAAAACAAAAGACAAAAAAACACCCAGGAGGAGAGGGGAATGGACTGAATCCAGCGGCCATTTTTACGGGCGGTTACGGGCGGTTCAGGTAATTCGGGGGTTGTCGTACACGGGCGGTTACGGGCGGTTCAGGGGCGAATGGGTTAAATATTCATTCATTTCACTCACTCAAAATGTGTATGTCTGTGTTTGGTTTTCAATCCCTTGTCAACAGTTTTGTCAAGATTGGAATTTTTTTCTGTACAGGTCGGATGTGTCTATGATAAGCGAGGAGCTCTTCAGAACAGCATATTGTGATATCCCCAAGTAAAATAGCAAGTGTTGTTTTCTTCAGTTCCTTGTAAACAGCTTTTTAGAAGTAAACTTAGATGACAACTTATGCCGCAATCACTAATTTCAGCTATTAAACTTCGCAATTTCTATTTTTGTGTAGCATTTGGTAAGTTGTTCGTTATTCACAGTTTATCTCAAACAATAAGACCTACTATTTAATATATTTGTTCTGTCGGTTTGACAGCCTTGATGCTTTTTCTCTCTTTCATTCACAGTAGAAAGGAGAAGCTGACTGGATTCACCTTGCATTTCAAGTTTTTCCACCAGGGAAGGATCTATCATAGTCACATCAGAGCCAGAATTGATGAGGCAGTAGGTATTGACAGTTGTTTCCAATGACCTTGAGGGGCATGATTTGTAATAGGATCTCCGTAGCCGTTCAAGGGAGTAGGTGGATCATCCAGTGAAGGTAGAGCCACAGGAACATTACGGATGACAGAGTTCTCAATGTGATCGGCTTGGTGAACGCCAATCCTTTCAGGGTTAGATTATGTGGTGACGTTTTCTACATTCTGGCTTCTGGCAGTGCACAGAAGACTTGAATTATCCAGAAAAATGCTCAATAGAGTTAATGGAGTTAAGAAAAAGCGGCTCCTCTTGAAAAACTCATTTCCTTCATCTCCAGGCTTTGATTAGAAAGTCCCACATAGATTGAGGGGATGTGACCGGCTACACATCGGGCAGTTTCTAGTTTCTTGTCATATTTAACGGCATTGCCATTTTCGCTTTGATTCGTGGCTCCTTCTGTCGTCACCAACGAGGTGAACTTCAGAGTGAGTGTCTTAGAGTTCGGAGTCTTCATCTCAGATACAGAACTTAAAAAGAGTGGATGATTAGCCACATCTGCACGACCATTAAGAAAATCGACCACATCCTGAAAGGTTGGCATAACACAACCTTGACTTTCGAGGTTCTTTAGATGCTCGTGAATTTTTGCTTGTGCCAACTTCGGTAAGGTAAGAGTCATCTTTTTGAGGTTGTCAGTGTTCATTTCACCCAAACAGGCCATAGATTCAAGGGTGTCATACATTACCTGCGCTGTATCTGCGTAGCGTCCTCTGGCCATGTCTGTCTTGAGCAACTATGACAGGACCTTTCATGAGGGCCTCTACATGTTCGTACCACTTTAAAGGGTTAACCAAATCAATCTTGGAGAACACTGAGAGCAAATTCGTCTCTCTGCACAGCTAACAACGCAGGTCCTTCAAGGAATGTAACAGGCAGGCCATTTTTGTTGGTTCGTCTAAGGCCTTTGATGACCATTGTTGTATCAGAGCGTAAGTTCGCTGGCGACCTTGCATTGAAACCAGCATGCTCTATGGTTTCTTATCCAGTCCTTGTCTTTTCCCAAAAAGGGGAATGCATAAACATCAGATTTTTGAGAAGTTTATTTGTAGGGTACATTTTCGACGGTAATTCATACCGTTCTGAAGCTCTGTATTCTTTGTTACATCTGGCATCTTTAACTATGTCAAAGTTCCGAGGGTACTCCTTTCATTCATGACCAGGCTGAGGAGGGAATTGTATCGCATGTGACTTAAAGATCTGTCTATACTGACTCACATCTTTTCAGAAAAGCCAAAACAAATTTTCAAACAAGCAGTCAGGAAGGCTAATATAATGGGAGTGTCAGTGTGGCAGCTCAAGAGTTGTTGTTTGAAGTTAAAGAGCGTGAAATGTTGCCGTCTTCTTTTTTCATCAAAGGACGGGCCTTACATTAACTACTTCTAGTTCGGACAGCCAATGCTGAGTGAAAAATGTTAGGGAATATATAAACCAATCAGTGGAAGAATACATTGACTGTAATATAAGACAAAATCACTTTGGATGCTGCAAGAGGTCTTGAAAATCTCCATTGTAATGGGATAGTTCATCGTGACTTAAAATCGAGCAACCTTCTAGTGAAGGAGGAAGCAAATGGGATGATTACAAAGGCACGTATGGCATGCCAGGATCTTGACATTTCTACCCTGAGAAAGACACAAACCGAAAAGTTGGTATTACGTATAATTTTGGAGACTAAAAACTTGTTTAGGCTTTGAACGAATTTGCCTTTCAATTTTTTTTCTGATGGAATATTTCGAGGGAAGAGGACAAAGAGGAAGATTAAATTAAATTAATTATATTTGATCATCACAATTTTGGTTCTTCGGCAAACTTCAGCTCAGATACAAAACTTCATGAGCTGGCACTGCAGAGGGGTAAACTTGGTAGACTGTAGTGTGTCATGAACTGAGGTTGCCTTTATAAGTCGTTAATTTGGGGGATGACAGATATTGTTCATTTCATATCTTGCTGGGAAACTTTAACTTGCAAAATCTGCCCAATACATAACACACTAGAGGTTTCGACCGAGCATTCTGTCTTCTATTCTTTCCACAAACTTGGACACAAAATCACGATTTACCAATTTGGTGTAAAGCACGATCTACCAAATAAACAACAATTCTCCTAAACTTCCATCATTTCACAATGTCTGCAAAATTTTATCTAAATCCATTCTAAAACAGCCAAGATATAAAAGTTGTAGCACAAGCAAAATTTTGCCTTATGAATTTATTGATAGATAGGTCAAGGTGTCTCCCGTGGCCGTAAATAATTCAGAATGACGGAATCAAAATGGCGGACAGCTCCAGTTCTATTTTAGAAATGAATGACGTCATCAGAATATCACACATCATGTGTTAGCCACCCTCTGGATTTCATCAGACATCTTACCACTCCAGTATTTTTCACTCTATTTCAACTTCGAGGAAAATTTGGATCCTGCAATTACAAATATGTCTTATTCTGTCATTGTGTCAATCAGGTTATGCCAAGAAGTTGGAAATGATTATGATATTATACTGTGTAATTTTAATGGTCGTAGGATAAGCGTTCTTGAAGTTATACCGTAAACCTCGGCTATAATCACTGCGCTTGTACAACGTCAAAACAAGCTCCCTAAAGCAGCTACTACAGTCGCAGTCAAAATGGTTGGGTAACTTTGGGGTCTCCTTGTCCTTTCAATGTTGGTGCACAAGATTTGGTGACCGAACCGCGATAAACAACTTTGAGAGGGACGAGGTGAGCACGAGAAGGGAAAAAACAGCGTTTGGCTAAACTGTCCCAACTATTTTTGTCTGAGACTTTGTCGGGGAGGAATTTGAAGGCGTGTTGACAGATACGGAGGTTAATCTGTAGGTCGGTCACAAGCGACGGGCTTTTGGTTTGTTGGGCGTCCATTGTGTTTCGCGGACGTTTCTATAGCAGTGAACTAAGTTATTTGGGCATAACAACAAAACACAAAGAATGACCAGTTCGCAAGAATTTCTTGGGCAGAGTAGAGTATTGGAAAATAAAGGGAACTGAGTGTGCAGTAAACCGTACACAAATAGCTTTCTAGTGGCCGATTGATAGCGTGACAACATAGCACGTGCATACTATCTACGTAAGATTCGGGCTTTTCGTAGACGGAGAGGCGCTCGAATGTGCCACATTTCTAGAAAAAATGTGTAGAGAATAATAAAGAAGGTCTCTTTGCCAAGAAAGAGTATAGGAACAAGGCTCAAAGGGACGCCTTTCTAACTTAACGGCAAGAGGCGAAAGACAGCCGAAAGAGCGATTAAGCGATGTCGAGAGAAAGGGGGAAACTTTTTCTACAGTTTGAAGGAAAATGCAACAAGCCAGGATTATTCCCAAAACGTATCAGCGAGAACAGTATCCCGCTTTCTAAATTTCTGAAGATACTATTCAGGACTACAAGCGCGTAAAAAGGGTGTCCAACAATAGTGTAACTGTTTGGTCCGACGCCAAAAAGTTTCTTAATGATATTCCAGGCTACTGCTGTGAAATCGACAACTTTTCATATAAAGTTGTTTACAACATATGTTAATTTGGCCTTGGGCCAAATGGTGACATCGGTTCTCATTCTTTACCCCAAATATACACTTTCCTGAAGAGCTCTAAAACAAACTACTGTGCCATAAATGTGGGACTTGAGGTACAAAACATGAATCATATCAAACGAGGACACTACCTATCCTTAAAACCTCAAAAAAGCGTTATACTCGACGTGTACACGGGTCACCGTACATTAATTCAATTAAGATATTTTTAAGTTTCTTTCAGCGCACAATCGTGTCACTATGATCGAAGTCTTAGTAACTTGACTTACATGTATCAAGGCGCTATAAACCTTAGCTATTTCAATTAAGTGTGAAAGTCCCTTATCCTTTTCTTTCTTAATCCATTGTATATACCAGAAAGGTCTTAGAAAATACCCTGGATAATATGGTGACCCGTTATGGTGACCCGTCCAATCGTGTCTCCACCGGTACAATATATTAGCGGCAAGATACACAGCCTGCTACCTCAATTTTCTCTATTACTCGGTGTTAGAGAATAACGCACTCCAGCGCACTACATCGAATGGTGTCCGCGATTGTGGTCGATGAATCGCATACAGTAGAAGAAAGACGCACAGTGTAATTCTCCATACTTGATGTAGCTTAAGGTTACGCTACAGCTCAAATCTGAAGATCTCGCTATACGTAAAAAAACGACATCCTGCAAACAACACTTAAAAAGCCGGGCTCAGCGTCAAAACATTCACGGACAAAGAAACTACAAACCAAGGCTCCTTGGTTTGTAGTTATCCAGATCCAGGCATTTTAGTCGGAAAAGATCAAAGAAGCTAAAATATTTATTTAGCCGTAATAAAAACCTTTAGCCTTTAAGAGTGGTTAAAGAAATTAGTACTTTACAACTGCATCTGAGATCAACAATTTCTAATCAGCAACGCGTACAGAAGCATTAACCACAGCAAATAATTACTCAATATGGATGAAACAAACCAACTTCATGACCTCTAAATAAATGTAAGACTTAGTGCAGCTTAGTGCAGTTTAGAACGCAGTTTAGTCATCTATGCGCAAGATAGCAACAAAGAAAAAACCTGTGTTTGTTCAAGCAAACTCCAATTCCAGCCAAGGTCATGTTTTACATTATATCACAAGCGTTTGTGTCGTGTTTAGGCTGCCAACACTTTATTTCTGATTGGCTGGGAAAATTGAAACCAAACAAGTTGTCAACAGGATGTCAAAATGAGTTGAAGGGGGCGGCAGTTGAAAAGGCCATGAATCCGGGCAGGCGGTTTTTATTTTTCTCACGACCTCGCCGCTCGTTCTCGCGCGCTTCGCGCACGAATTTCGTGGCTTTGCCTCTCGTGCACCTGGCTCCATAAAACCGCCATGCTACGCAGGCTATGATACAATTAGAAAACAAGCTGAAAATAAAAATTTTGACAGGCCATGTATTTGTTGACTTGTCCAAGGCTTTTGATACTATAAGTCATGCTGGTTTACTGAAAAAGTATATAAACAATGGATTTTCAGTAAAATTGCCTTAATTCGCCCTTGAATTTTGGAAAAAGGTTTCTACTATCAAGGAGTCAAGCTACTCAATGAATTCCCAATTAGACTTAATTTCGAGAATTCTATTTAAGAAAGCACATTTTAGTTAATCGATGAAATGCTCACCTTGTTAACAACAGTCATAGTTATAGCCTTTAAGCATTTTATCTTATAGTCATAGCTTATCCTTTTTTAACTTTTAGTATTTTTGTATTGATGTACAGGACCCCATCGATAACAGTGCTTTATACACTGATGGGCATTTTCATCTTGTAAAAATATTCGCTTTATTATTGTTATTATTCCTGTGTAAAAGTTTAGTCATTTATCGCAATAACGCAGCTTTAGAACAGTTTCTCTAAGGCCTTTAGCGGGTAGGCCTTCTAAAATATGTCAAGGAATATCTAACAGGGCTAAAAGACATGTTTTGTAAGGTACCCTTTCCTCTTACTGTGGATTCCTTTACGAAACTGCTGAGAATAAACTATTCAGATCCTACCAGCAATAGAGGCAATCTGGCACGAAAGGGGGGAGAAGCCACCATCTTATGGTGGGAAGAGTTTTTGGACAACCTGGATCAGTCCTAATCAGTAAACGGCGAACTCAAACTCCTTCAAAATCGCTCAAAAAACAGCTTTTGAGGCAAAAGGACGACTATATACCACAGGTAGGGTAATTCAACGTTTATTTAACATTGATTTATATACACATACTTTAACTTAGTGACATATCGCTATGGGTGAGGCAAACGGTAAATCCAGTACATTTACTGCAAAACAAAAAAGCACTTACAGCGGCATTCAGGTCTCTCCTGCTTGGAGATTAGATCGAGAAATGAGGAGGCGATTAATTCTACAAGAAACATAATTTACTCGCTTAAGGTTTTTTACTTCCTACTTTATTGACGTCGGTCCTTGTTATTTGTTTCTGAATTAATTTAGTATGCGTGTTAGCGATGACCAAAAATACCTCTGTGGTCGCAGGCTATACGAGTGTATAAATACACGAAAATTCAAGGGCCTCGATTCCAGAGAAATTACATCATTGCCAGAGATCGAAAAAGTGATTTACATGGCACGTCATTTCAATCATCGCCGAATTTTTTGCTAATTAAGATTCTTATTTTTTTCACTTGCTCCAAATTATTCAACGCTTTCAAGCAATAGAATTCGTGGACCGACACGTTTCGGAAAAGCCCTAAATTCAATCTTTCCTAAGCTGTCTTCGCAAAATATGCATCTCTTCGATCACGCAACGATTGTTAGTCCCAGTTTCCACGGTCTCTGTAAGGAACGCCTGGCACAATGACCTGCCTTTTGTACCCCAAATAATATAAGGGACTACCCCCCCCCCCCAACCCCGGGGCGAGAAATGCGTTGCAGATTATGAGTCTTGCTGCTCGTGCAAGCGAGACTAATAACATTGGTTACATACAATCATTGTGTGGGCATCCTGTGGTAGTTTGCGCATCGCCGAACTTATTATGGTTTGGAACATGCGTAGGTACCTGCTCTTGAGCATCTTCGCACTGCTCATTACAGAAGAACCAGAGTAACACGATTAAACCTTTATCTCCCTAGCCCCTGGTCTGTCCCTGGCAGGTTCATTCCGTGCTTTGACACGCGCATAAACGTTCCAGCGACCGCTTTATAATTGCTAAAAAGGGGGCAAAAGAACCATATTTTACGTCGACAACACGTGACAGTCCCCTGCCTCTCCATCAATGCTCCGTTTTAAGGGTATTTGAAGCTGGTCAAAGCTACACAGAAGGAAGAGAGTTGAAGCAGGGATGTCAAAGCCCGCGCACTAACCAACCGTGTCACCCTTGCTGATTGCCTGAGTTCAAAATAATAATAATAATAATAATAATAATAGCCAGAGACGCACAGAGAGTGTGTCATGTTTACACAATGCACCTATCAATGGTTTGCCCCAGGATGGGGGGGCTGGGCAACCCACGGGAATTAGAAAAAAGCGCATGTGGGTGGGAATTTTGACATCCACAACGGTCCCCAGGGTGGGAAATTTGACTCGACCGCCATCTTGAAAAGTGGAGAAAACCTGGGAATGAGTGAGTGGTCCGCCATCTTGGAAAATACCCAGAAGTCATTTGAGCGAGTTTCCCGCGTCCAAGAATGGCTGAACGAAAGGTAAGGAGTATCGTGTTACTTTTTTTTAAGCAAAAATGTTTTTTTATGCCCATCAGTGCTGTCTTTAAAGTTCCAATAACATAAGGTATTTTCCTTCAGCTTTGAGACGAAATATTCGCACAAGAGCTCATTTAGATCAAAATTTACCTCCTACTTACCTGTCTTCAAAGGATGCCGCCCTGCCTCAAGTTTTCGACACTCTCTGTCTTTATAGATTTGCTAGTATACTCCAAATCTTAAATTAAATGAAATTCTGGTCAATTCTGGACCTCCGTTACAAACATCAGTTGGATGAAAGCGGAATACGACCTATTCCAGGCGTGACATAGAAGATGAATCCAGAAACCTGTGCCAAATCTCACCAAACAATGACAAGTAGTGCTTTATTAAATAATCTTATTTTTTGATACTTTCTATGTCATTTTTTTAATTCTACCCCAAAAAATTTTTGTCCATAAGAAATACAGTTTGGATTGTTTTGAGAGGATCTTGTTTAATCGTTGTTTGTTCAAATCAGTGTTGTGCAGCTTTTGATGTAGTGCTACTTTGTTCCAGGTTTTGGTTGAGTTTGGCGAAAGCCGTAAGGTTCTCTCTCTAGAAGAGGGAAACTCTATGGTTAAACTAATAAAGGATGCATTTGCAATTGAAGGCGAAATCTTGTTACAGAAGTTTGGCAAAGAGTGGCAAGAAATTATTGGTCTTGAAGGGAATGCTGTTGTAGAAGACAAGGCAAAGTTGCGTGTCATTTCAAAGGTGTGCAATATGTGATAGGATTTGAATATTTAGCTATTCTTGTAGTTGATTTATAAAGTCTGTATGATTTTCTTTGTTTGATTGGCTGAATTAAGGAATTACCTCCAATCAGAGACAGTCACAATGAAAGGGCTGCCAAATTTCCAAATGATTTCTAGAAGAAATATTTACTCATTAAAATATAATTATGTGGTATTTTGCTCTCTGGCCTCAATACATCTCTGTTTTTCACATTAAATGGGCAGTACCACTTCTATTGTGTGACAAACGCTACTTAACTTTGTTTGCTGATATATACAGCCGTCAAGCCATGTCTCAGCGGTTCAACCCACTATATGTGCGACATCAACAACCACAGGTAATCAAATTTATTGACACCTTTCATACCAGACAAAAGCTTGAACATTTTTCTCTACTGTAGCTGTAAATAGATAGGTTTAGAAAATCTGTTATTCTTCCGTCACCTTCAACGATCTGCACACTTCCACACTTTCATGAATTTAGTAAAATAGAAGAAGGCTGATCAGGCATTTCCTAATGAAACAGAATAGATTACATATGCCAGTAGATGAAATAGTGCCATTATAGTAGTAGTGTTTATTTTTTATATTAATAGTTTGTTCAAGAAGTCAATCAACACTTGTCATAAGCAATGGCAAGATAGCGATTGGCCCCAAAGTAAAAGTCAGTGATCCTTGTGAGTGTATTTTGTTCAATGGTAGTCTGGTTCAGTAATTTTATGGTTAATGAAGGAAATAATGCCCATGCCTGTCTGAAGCAAGCAATTACTAATGCTAGCATTCCATTGTTATAAATTCAGCACTTTGATTTAATACTAATAGTTTATTTTACTGAATCATGATTAATATTCATACATGACTGTAAAGGACCTGTTTCCTCCTGCCATCCATGTGTATTGGTTTATATATTGAATTCTTAAAGTGGAATATAAGCACACATTTTAACATAGAAAATCACCTTCAAGGGGCGTCCTACTCCATGTTTCAGGATTAATAAACCAATAATATTTTATACATTTGGTATAAATATCCATAAACTATTCATTTGTCAATACTGATGGGTATTTTCTTCTGTTGCTCTTATGCTGGGACTCTAGTTGTACAGTAATAAGAAAAATATTTTCTCATCAAAATTGGTTAAAATGTGAAAATGAAGTGACTGATTGTCTTTTAATAGATAGTTCTTTTTGTTTGTCTCAAAGGTGACGGGACAGAGTACAAAAAATAGTCAACAGGTGATCAGTGCAGCCATGATTTATGGAAAGGGCTCATCAGACAAGGTGTTAACACCCTACCAGATTTCGGTAAATGAGGCTGCAGGTAAACTGGCTCTTGAGAATCCTTCCCTGCTTGACCAAAGGGGTATCCTGTATGAGAAAGATAAAGAGGCAGTAAGGGGTGAAAGTTGCTTTGTGTTTAAGAAAGGAAAATCCCGATCAAAATCATTTGAAGAAGTAGAGCCAGTACCATCCAAGAAACAATATACCTCAGACACATTCAGAAAGGAACACACTGCCCAACTTCTTGAAGACATTGAAGGAAAGCAGAAGCAACTGAAGTACAAACAGCTTCGTCAAAGTAAAGCACAGGCATCTAAAGACTGGGAGACGTGTGATAGGCTACAGAAGGAAATGGCCACATTAAGGAAGGAGGTTTTTGAGGCCCAGAAAGAGCTGAAGTTGCTTCAAAGAAAAGAAAAGAAGTCCAAGTGGTACAAAAAAAGGCAAACCAAAGCACTGGTGTCACAGTTTTGAATCAGGCCTCTGTTGACGTTTACAGGAAAGGAACCAACAAAAAAAGATGAATCCCAATCAGGCCCCTGCGGTTCTAGGGCAAGAAAACTGTACCACTATACAGCCCGGCAGTCCTTCCATGGTTCCTGTGGCTTTAGGACAAGCAAGCAGTAGTCCTCATGTACCAGTGGCTTCAGGACAAGAGACTTTGAAGGCTACACAGCCCAGTAACAGACCCCAAGTTTCTGTGGCATCTGAGCAGGGTTTTGTGGAAAGTCCCCTCAGGATCTGTTGAGGGGGCCTGACAGTGACGTTATTTTGTGAAAGAGTTTTAAATATTAGTCTTCCTGTGTTAGAGCTGATGATTTTACTGACATTTCTGCATTACAAGGATTTACTTTAGAGAGTTACATTGCCACAATGGAAAAAAATATGCATTGCAGAACATACCCAACTTTGTAAACTGTGTACTGGATTGTTAACAGTTGCAAAACGAATTGCTGATGATGGGTATATTGGATTAAATGAAGCATTCTCAATATCTAGCCCCGGTGTGAAGTGTAAGTCAACACATGCCAAAAGAAAACTCCTTCCAATGCCTCACGCTCCTTTCAGAATAAAAGAGAAAAATAACCATGCAGTTTTCCTTGTTCCTATGGAAAGCAATTTAGAATCAGCTCGAAGCCTCTTGTCAAGATTGGACAGTGAATTAGACATCTTTGGTAAAGAGCATGTCAAGAAAAGTGTAATTCCTATTAAAGCATTTTAACAGCTGCCGAGTCAGATGTAGAGAGGGAAAGGATTACCTATGCTGTTGCTGCAGCATCTGGGCAAAGCAATACAAAGTTAAGAAGCATCTATGGTTTTGAAGATATACAGAGAAGAAAGGAAAGAGTAGAAAATACTTTAAGAGAAGCAAGAGAAATCAGGGAAGCAGTAGACTCCATTGCAAGTATTCAAGAAAAACCTGTACTGTCATCATTCGGTATTCAAGTTGACAGTGATGATAGTGATGAGGATGAGGAAAGTGAAACTGATACAGAAAATGAGGAGGGAGACAATAATAGGGAGTCACAAGAGGATGACCCAGTGAATGGCACGAATGGAGATTCAGTGGTGATTGACATAACTCATCAGTTTTCTCTCAGCAAGCAAATAACCGATACAGGATCAGTGTATCAGAAATTCTCAAGAACTGATGGACCTACTAAGAGCCTGTGAACTTAACTGGTTTCTTTTTGTTGAAGTTATTGAACAGAAGTTAAGCGGCCACACCAAAGCTGCCATAGATCAGATCCTCTTAGACTTCAGTGGCCAAATCCAGTTGCTAAAGTTGAATAAAAGGGAAGAGTCTATTATAGAACAGAGCAGACAGGCATATCTTCTTTCAGAAAGACTACAAGGAAACCAGTCAGATGTGGATGATGATGCCATCGGATCTGAAACTGAAGAAAGTGGTGCAGATTGGGGAAACATTCATGATCCCCTACAACCTGAAGCACGGGACATTATTTCCCAAAAGGTAAAGCAGTTAAAAAGAAATGAAAGACGAAAAGCAGCCCAGAGGATAGCAGAAGCTAGGTTTCTGAAACGAAAGACAGGGAAAAATGTTGTAAACAATTCTCAGAGTGCCCAGATATTGGTTCCACCATTAGAATTATGTGAAGAGTGCTGGAGTAGGAGCTGACAGCTGGAGAAGAACTGGGATTCTTACATTTGATGGAAATCGGAAAGTTGAAAAAAAAGCAACTTTCAGTAGAATAAAAGAGCTTTTGGAACGAGTTTACCGAAGAAAGTTTGGATATGGGACTGTGGTGCAACTTTGTGTTGCAAGAAATAAAAGACGGTTGTCTGCCAGTCGGTATAAAGGCCTTGCAAAGGTCACATGCCGCCAAGCCCGAAAAGGCTTTACAATACGATATAATCCAGATAAGCATTGGTCATCTGCCCTCTACAGGGCCCTTGATGCTTTGCAGCTCAAAGACGGCACAGATATCATCAACATAAATCGAGATGACCAGGCTGGGTTTTGGTTAGATACCTTAGCCACCCACAACAAGCAAGCAACATCGTGCATACAGGATAGTGTTCCACTCACCACCAAGACAGACTATGTGAACAAATACCCGTCAACACTTCAAACGACTTCATACAACTTTTCCAGCACAGGCACAAAGGCAGAGATATGTGCTGGCTTTGTTAAGGCCATCCCACTTCATCAGAAGAATCCCGCACAACATGCACATGATTTGAATGTGATTGAGACATATTCAAAGTCGAGCCAGCATTTTTCAACCATATTACCTGAGAAAGAGTAAGGTTTGTGTTAGAGTGGAAGGAGGGCATGATGAAGGGCCGTCACACAAGGAGGTTCAATTTTGGTGGACTAACTACCACCTCGAAAAGTCATCTAAAGTGCTCATAGTAACCACTAGAGATAGTGGCTCCAGCAATTGAAACAGAGTGGAGTTGCAGAATGGATACCTGGCTCTCGGCCATAGCAATTTCTTTATCCCGTCGACTCTGAATGGTTCCTGTTTAGACTCCATAACTGGTAAGATCGATGACAACAAACTTAAGGAGAATCTTAACGATGCGATTGATATTTACATCAGCAGGGTGAACAAATCCCCATGTGCGAACACCAAAATTCATCTTTATAAGGGAAGAGATAGTTCATAGGAAACCCAGCCGAAAAAGCCAATTTGAAGAATGAACACCCAGGAACGTATAATTAGATCGATGGAGTTTGGTCCTTACGAAATCGTCACCTGATGTCTGGTATGCCATCCAAGTATGTTTTCCATCTGTTTCTGTGCTACCAACCTAGTTGTATCCACCCCTTAAAGAGGAAACTCGGTATGACGGACGACCTCCACTGAGTTTCACTCCACTTCCTGTTGCAGACCCGAACAGGTAAAGAAACAGAAACAACGCACAAGCTCTTTCTTGTTTCTGTAGACTTATCGGCCTTTTTTTACCTACAATACTCGTCAAAAATCTTGAAACACTTGTGTCTATTTCCCCTTCCCCAATGTTGATTTGGGTATCACAGTGGTCTCAGTGCTTCAAAATACGCGTGGCTCAACATTGGGGAGGGAGAAAGCACATTTCAGGGGGGAAAACAGTGTGAAGTATTTTCCGGAAAATTCGAGAGAAACCGTGTCTGTTTCAACGATTTGTGACGAGTACTGTCTTTGCATCTGAAGGGCGTGGACGGGTAACGTAAACGTAGGAAGAGTAATTATTGTTGCCTGCAGTGGTTACGTGAGGAGTGTTCTTGTTCTGACTGTTCTAGATATCAAGTAGGAGTTATATAAAGAAGCTATGCAGACTTTTGAGTATTGCGATTTTAAGGTACTTTTGTGGTAAAACAGTTTAGTGAAACGGCTCTACCTATTAGCACATTGCGATGGTGTTTAAAGGTATAATCGATAGCGTGACTCGTGCACGTGCGTATTTTCTATGTCGGGTTAAAGGCCTACCTGTGCGAACAGTTGCCAGCATGTGCAAAATTTCTGCGGTCACTGTTTATAGAATTGCACATGAGAAAACTTATAAGAGGCGCACTTCCGAGGAGACGTGTAAAAGAGGTCGCAAGAACAAGTTAAGTGACCGCGACAAAAGACGACTGATAAGATGCATTACAGTTTTGAGGAAAAGAGAGGGCAACTTTACCTGTAAAGCACTGATGGAGGAAGCCGGAATTCAACAAAAGGAAGTATCTGTAAGAACAGTTTCTCGTTTTCTCAATTCACAAAATTACTACTATCTGCAGACTCGCAGAAAGGGGCTCATGACAGCGGAAGACCACAGCAAAAGAGTTAAGTTTGCAAATTACATGAAAGCCAACTACAGCCTGGAGATTTGGACAGAAGGAATTGCCTTTTACCTGGATGGAACAGGATTTACGTACAAAAGAAATCCACTAGATCAGGCTCGTGCACCAAAAGCTCGTGTCTGGAGAAAGAAATCAGAGGGTTTGGCTCCGGGTTGCATAGCAAAGGGCCGCAAAGAGGGAACTGGGGGCAAAGTATCACGACTGATGGTGGCAATTTCTTACAATAAAGGAGTTATCTGCTGTGAACCTTACGAGAAAATGAATGGTCGTTATTTCGCTGCGTTTATAGATAACCATTTTGATCGCCTATTCGCAGCTGCTGATAAAGGATGTAGCCGAACGTTTTTACAAGATGGGGATCCCTCTCAAAATTCGGCTTTAGCAAGGGCAGCGATGCAATGCACAAACAGTACCTTAATCAAACTGTGTCCAAGATCTCCTGATATGGCGGTCATTGAAAATGTGTTGCCCATGGTGAGTAGGATGTTAAAAGGACAAGCAGTGCAGCAACAACTACGCCGAGAAACATTTGAACAGTTTAAGAATCGTGTTATCAATACATTTTACTCTATATCTGTTGAGACACTGTGAACAATTTAATACGCTCTATGCCGAAACGAATTGATATGGTGATTAGAAATAAGGGGAAGCATATAAAATATTAAAGAAATACCCCTAATTGCATTCTGTGGATAATTGCGTGAGATTTCTTCTCGCGGAATGTAAACTTTCAGAGACAATATCACTATCGCACTATTCGCCAAAAATAAGGGGGGAGGGGTGGTGTTGCATATTCCAAAACAGAACGGGGTGAAGATTGCTCCGATGGCCGTCAAGAGGACGTTTAGCGATTTTTACATAGTAGAATGTTTTTTTGCGGTCTTTTATGAAATTGCTTCGCTATTCATTGTGACATGATTTCTGCTGGAGCTCCAGGGAAAGAATAGTGAAGTGCATGGCCACTTAGTCCTTATCTCAAATGACTACACAAAGGTGTCAAATGAACACGGAACCTTTTTCTTCTTTTGCTATGATCTTAACAGTTATATGTACAAAAAATAAGCTAACTTTGTAGACAATTACATTATTAAAAGAGATCATTTGTTTTAAGGACCTGTCGACCTTCTTAGCGCTGAAACTCAACGATTCACCACTGTGTTCTAACGTAAAGTAATTATAGTACCATAGACTTTAAGAACTATCGGTTCACCATGGTGAAGTCCTACAAATAGCCTTATTGAATAGCTTAATCAAGAAAATTATCCCTCAGGTGTATGTTCCGTGATCTGTTCTATCATTTGAAACACTTGTAGATGGAGTAGCTTTTAGGGACCGGTCAAAAATTAGAGGGGGGGAGGGTGGTGCATTTTTATTTTGGCCTACCAGTTTTGGGGAGACCCTCCCCATTCCAGGTGCAGAAAAAATGTTGACCCCCCAAAATAGTTTGCATAATTTATCATGCCCCCCCCCCCACCCCTCCTTCTTCTCCCGAAAAAAGGCTACCTGTATTGTAGCATAGCCCGAATTGTACGACACTGACCTTAAACTAACAAAGAAGAAAACAAGTTGCGTTTCTTCCTGATCTTGTGGTTACGTTCATTGTGATTCCATGATCGTGTAGGTACAGGATTTCATCACCCTCTTCGTGTTCTTCATATTCTTCTTCTTCACTCTCTACAGAACCGATTTCAGCAAGAATGTCCTCCTCCTCGTCATATTCATCACATGTGACCACCTCATCCTCTTCACTCTCATCTGTGTCACTGTCTTGCTCCCTTAGGTTTTGTGTTACAGCCAAATGGTTGGTTATGTGCCTTTGGACTTCATTGAGTTTTGCTTTCTTCCTTCCCTGGCAGTCTATGTTGTGGTGTCTCAGGTATTTGTCCAAAACAGCTATTGTCTGTTTGGTTAAAGAACCATCTTCAAGCATGGCAACCCAATCAAAATCTTCATATTTCTTCCCTGCCTGGGCAGATCTTTTTTCAGCTCTCTCTTTCTTTCGTTTATCTTTCTTCAAGTC